ACGTCGCGAGGGACGAGCGACCGGGGCGCAGTAAGGCGCGATGTCAGCAAGGACTCGACTGAGAAAGAACTTGCTATGGAGACTTGTAGAATGACACGCCCTCATTGGAGGGACGTGATACTGATTGCTAAGCGGCCCGCCATAGGCCCGTGTTTGTAAGCTAATATCAGCAAAGATGACTCAACCGTTAGTAACAGAGTTTAAAGAAGCTTGACTACCATCAGCCGGTTGTTCGCCGAAGCTACTATGCCGGAGAAGCATGTCATACGGACATCCCGAAGGCACCGTCCGCTTCCACTTCTATCAAACCTTCGAGATTAATCCGAACTTCTTGCGAGAGAAGACTTCTATGATCCGTGATCGGATCAAAGAACTCGGACCCATCTAGACCGTGTCAGGTGACGATGACGTATGTAATCACGTGGTCTTCACGTCATAGCCATAAGCTAGGGTTAGGTTAGGTGGTGTTGGCGTCGACCTGCCTGCTGAAGGACTTGTGGCTGACTTGGATGACTTGGGTGGAATGGCGTCCACCCCCAAGTTTCGCCTATACTTATAGGCTCTTCAGATCCGCTTGGTCAGCATGGTTCGCACGTCGCGAGGAACGAGCGACCGGGGCGCAGTAAGGCGCGATGTCAGCAAGGACTCGACTGAGAAAGAACTTGCTATGGAGACTTGTAGAATGACACGCCCTCATTGGAGGGACGTGATACTGATTGCTAAGCGGCCCGCCATAGGCCCGTGTTTGTAAGCGAAATCAGCAAAGATGACTCAACCGTTAGTAACAGAGTTTAAAGAAGCTTGCCTACCACCCGAGAACTCGCCGAAGCGAGGGGGGCGCATGACTTACGGACATCCCGAAGGCACCATCCGCTTCCACTTCTATCAAACCTTCGAGATTAATCCGAACTTCTTGCGAAAGAAGACTTCTATGATCCGTGATCGGATCAAAGAACTCGGACCCATCTAGACCGTGTCAGGTGACGATGACGTATGTAATCACGTGGTCTTCACGTCATAGCCATAGGCTAGGGTTAGGGTCTGTTAGGTTAGGTTTCTGTTAGGTTAGGTTAGGTTAGGTTAGGTTAGGTTAGGTTAGGTTAGGTTAGGTTAGGTTAGGTTAGGTTAGGTTAGGTTAGGTTAGGTTAGGTTAGGTTAGGTTAGGTTAGGTTAGGTTAGGTTAGGGTTAGGTTAGGTTAGGTTAGG